ATTAATTTTATTTTTCTATATTAAAAATATATACAAATATATGTTTTTATTTACCTATGTATTTTGATAGAACATATATGTTTTTATATAAAAACTGTTGTGCAGCATGGAAGAGCATTAACTGCTTCCCACAGTCAGGGAAGAGAGGCTGCTTGCTAGACTGAAGGCTAACCTAAGACAGTAGTTAATGCTCATCCCCACACTGCTAGAAGGAACTGGGACACAGAAATCATCGTTATCTTCCCACTTGTGAAATTTGTCACAACTCTCTCCAAATCCTCACAGAGAATCTTTTCTTCAAAAGAAGCAGACTACCTAATTGGTGACTGCCTACAGCTCCACTGCTCAAAGAACATCTAAATACATTTCAAAATAAGGGAGAAGGTTATCAGAATCAAGGACTATCAAAAATTAACAAGCTTGTTATGTAACCAGAGAGAAGTTCAAATTAATGTTTTAATTAGCTGTAACAATAATTTTAGAAATACACAATGATCTAATAAATTCAGCAGCATTTTTTAAGCATAGTCAACGTAAAAATACAGGCTAATACAGAGGAAGTCCAGAAACATGAGATTTGTCTTCTCCTGTTAAGTACAGCAGGTCTAAAAATTTCTAAGCTTGTTTTTCCAAGTCCAAGTATTTAATAGCACCCACTCATTTTACTATGATCAAGTAGGTGCTTAAGCAGGAACAGAGACGTTTAAACATTTAACTCCAGCTTCTCCAGTAAGAATCCAGGTTACGTCTTTTCATAGTTATTAAAATTCTTAAAACCATGTCCTTTGAAAATTAAGAATTATTATCAGAAAGATCATACACAAAAAAACCCCCAGTATTTGAGAAGTTTCTTTCAGATTATTTTACATCCTGCAAGTTACTCGATTTACATATACATAATTTACCAAGATACTTTATTACTCAGTACATGCAGATTAAGAACCAATCCCTAGGTCTTTATTTCTATTTCACCATTCTAACAAATAACTTGGACAAAATACCGAAGACACATACTTTTTAGAGGGAAAAAAGATACACCCTTATTAAGCAACAATGCATAAGTAAATGCATGAACAAATTAATATGAGTAGTCAAAACCAACTGGAATAAAGTATAAAATACTCACTGGCCTTAGCCAACTACCTTGCCTATTAGAAAGCCACGCAACCTTCAAAGACTGTTCTGATGGAAGGAAATTTCCTATGACTCAACATAATTAAAACACTATTTACTTACACTTACTTTCAGTGTGACTTGAAGTTTTAAGCAATTTTTAGCTTTTAAATTAATTTAATATTCATTACCTGCATTTGTCACAACAGATCATATATCCATCATCATGTGTAAAGCCACAAATGCATCTGGTAATATCAGTTCCATAGCTTCCATCCTCTGACGTACTGATGGTAGTAGCACTGGAGGTTTCATCAAAGTTGGGAGTGGTAAATATGCCTACTTCATTCTTGCTTATAAGCACTGATGGAGGAGGAGAAGCTGGAGGCGTTGGAGGAGGCCGAGCACCATAGTTATGGTCCTACATTTTTGTGGAAAGAGAAGTTATAGCTCTTAAATGTTCATACACTGATGGTTATTTAAGCCAAAGTGTAAGAATTCACTTTGTAAACAATCTCGGAGACTTTTTAAGTAATAGTTTAAAATTTCGTTTCTGTCGTTGCTCATTCTTGTTTTTTGCCTTCTCAGCTATATTTCACATGTAAGTGCACTATATTCTGTATTCTGCTTCTAATCAACCATCTTTAGCCAACTTGCCCAACTCCCAGTAAGATATAAAAATGTAAGCATGAATCAGAGTTTTTCCAGTTAAAACCAGCAATTTTACATAATCTATTTTATACAGAACACTTAGCATGAAACTTACTGCATAGGGCAAACCAATGTAACTGTGTGAATGTGAGCTGCTGGTATACAACTGGTGCGGATAACTGTTCGATTTTTCAACTACCACAGGGCTAGCTTCTACAGATTCTGGTCTGCAAGGCAAAAGACAGAAGAAGAATAAATACAATTAATATGTATGTATAGGTACTTGTTGCACAACTTCTAAATAATTGCCTGCTGTTCCTGTTTAAAGGAGTATACAAAAAGGGGGGTGTGTGACAACAAACTCACACAGGCCCAACTGCCCCCTCACCCCAAGGAAAAAAAGGAAACCCAACCCTCTTTCATTTAAAATGAAGCTTCTAGAGTGGCAGAGAATTTATGCCTCCGTAGATTACAATTTTTTTTCTCAGAAAAGTGCACGCTTGATCACATGACATAAGCTGCAAATCTGGGACAGAAAAGTGTGTTACACACTTTGCCAGGGAGTCATCAGTCTGTATGCTCAAGTCTACAGAATTGTAACAGAAGCTGTAAAAAGGACTTTCAGCTTACTGATAACAAGAGAGAGAAGCAGTAATTCCGAGAGCTGCAAACCCATACCCATAGAGCCCTTCACTACCGCCAATCCTATTCGATTCTGCTATGCCATCTAGTGGCTGCATTACTGCACCACGCACAGCCATCCACGCCAAACAGTACTCAAGGCTGCAGACTACTGTTTCTACAGGCAGACATCCTAAGTAGGGCAAATCTATCTAAAAAAGGCAGTTTATCGATTATCTTTAAAAGATAAAAATCTGCGAAAGAAGGTTTTGTAGTGAAAGGCAGTACCTTCTTTAATAGACAAACTATGGTTTATATGCACCAAACCACAACATGAAAGACAAGATAAAGGAATATTAAAATAGGAGGTCCTTTTGAGCACAAGAAACTACACCTTCATTACCTTTCCTCAGCTGAATATATATATATTCACATGTGCATGCAAGCGTGCATATATATATATACACACACACACCCTCCACGACTGAGATACTTTAGTCAGTAACTCATAGTTTCTCATTGCACCATGTGATTCAACCACACCAGGACAAACTTCAAATGAATCCAGTGTTAACTAAAGTTGGTTTTGGGGGTTTTGGGTTGGGGCTTTTTTGTTTGTTGGGTTTTTTTTGTACATTGAAAGGCAGGGCAAAATATCAGTATCTAAAACTGAAGTGGCTTTTGACTCGCATCACAAATCCAGTCTGATTCATTTTTCGAATTTATTTTTATTATGCATGAAGTCTATTTCCCATCACAAAAATCTTAAAAATTCCCTGAACTGATTTTTTAAATAAAGTTGGTATTTCAATCTTAAGTTGAAATAGATATCAGTGTTTTTTCTTAAATATTAAGGTATTAAATATAGGTTTTTTGTTATGCCATGAAGTGACACTAATTTAATTTAAAAGAACACCAGCAACTTATATTTGTTGGTAACATTTTTTGTAAGAACATAATTAATCATTAGCTTTCTGAAAACAATATACAGTATTCTCACATCTACCTGAAAGTGTCCTACTAACATTCTTTGTTTTCCCCATGTGAGGTTAATACATGATAAAATTGTTTAAAAAGAAACACTAGTTAAAAACATTACTGGGTGAAGACTTTAGTTTCTAGAGTCCAAAGAAAAAACATCTTTTTTAAAACATTAATGTCTCTAACAATCACCAGCTGCCTTTTTTTAGACAGTGAGCAAACATGAGTGCACAAATCATATGAAGTACTAACATTAGAAATACAGCTTTTGACTAGCATGAGACAAAAACCACCTCTGATGACACCTTCATCACCTCATAAATGCAGGAAAAAAATCCTAATTTACTTACACCACTTCTCAACTCAAAAATATTTTTATTCAGTTTGTTTCAATTATCTGCTAGAAGCAGCTCAGAATTTGCCAGGTTCATCAAACCCATGACTATGAAGAAAACCCCCCAAAAAACACTCAAAAAAGCCCACCACAAACAAACAGACAAAAGCTGGAGAAGCTGTGCCTTTCCAACAGATTTGGCTTTACCTATTTCTCAACATAATGCATTGCTGCACTAATCATACACCATTAATGTCATCGAGTTAATCCTTCTAACAATCTAGCCAATCAAAACGCCAATGAGGTGTTGACTATCCATCCATCATGGCTAGGACAGAAATTAACTTATCTTTCTCCAGTTCAAGAGGGTCTTGACCACCGTATTGCTTCTACTAGTATTCTTCAACATTTATTGAACAGGAAAAGCAGCAGCACAGTTACTCTCATGCACTACGTGTTTCAATGCTCAACCTAGGTCTTGTTTGCTTCAGTATGTGGAAAACACTCAGTTTTCAGAGCAGGAAAGCTTACTGACACAGGACAGAGGAGGAATTCAGGTGCAATTCATGTTTCAGCAATGCCACAATTAATTTAGCAGAGTTTTCCTCATTAAAAATAAGTATTACCATGACCTAAATACCCACTACTTCATCATGGGAGCATTCAATGGAAGATACCAGAATGGAAATGTCCTAAAAAGAGATGCCTATTTCATCAACTGACTATAAAAATCAAAAAGTTATTCTAAATCTCTTGCAAAATACGAGGCAAGACAATATACCCTACTCCCTAGATCTATTTCTACCTGCTCTAGCAATTTATAAACCACATTAAGAGAACCAAGTTTACTATTTAGAGGCAAAACAGTTATGGGAAGCAAATGCATTAAGCTTCCAAAACCAAAATAGGGCAAACAAATGCATTTATCCCCAACTATTTTAATACTCATAAACCAGATTCAGATCACAGGGTTAAAAAGGAAAAAGCACAACTTTACTTGAGCAAGGAAAATCAGAAAAAGGCTGAGAGAAAATTAGGTGTGACACAAAGGCAATTAAATTTTTGTATTAAAAAAGTTTTAACATAAATACAAAACCAGAGCAGAATCAGCTTTCAGCAAAGCTTTTTTCAAATGCTTATCCACGGGGGCCACAGATACTTCCTTAAATTATAACAGATGCTCACCAGACCTTTGAATGTAACCGTTACTGTTCCGTTTATCCACTCAAATGCTAGATGGGAGTGGGGAGCAGTGTGGAAAAGACTAAGAAATATGGGAAGGTAGAGTATTCACTGATGTTAATCATTGTGGGTTTCTTTACAGTCAACAGAAAAGCGTCATTCATCTCATAAGCAGTACAGAACGTGTATCATTTCTCCACAGAACTACAGACAACTTTGTAACTTTGGCAGACAGGTCAGACAACACTTTAATACGTCCTTCACCAAATTCCTTGTTACCCCTCTTCTGGCCACTATATGCATGACCCTGACCTTAAACAGAAAACACACCCTCTATAGTGTCATTTGTCCAAAGGTCAAGGCCGCCTTCTCAAATAAGCATCTCAGAATTGGGAGGTTTCTGAAGGAACGCCTCTTGGTAAAATATTTACTTGTACAGCCAATTAAAACATGATATACCACAATTTTATTTTTTTTTTGCTTAAGTAGCAAAGCACTAACCACTGCATAGACACACTGTATAGACACACTGTATAGGTGTAGACACCTCCCCTAATCCCACCATTGGCATTCTTATGGGCATCCCCAAAAAGAAAGTCCTCAGGAAGAAAAAGTGTAAGCATTCAGATCTGAAAGAATACTATGAGGTTTTCCTTGCTTGTATTTTGTAACACAGGCCAGCTCTGTAACAGATTGAGGTAATAAGCTTGTCAGTCTTCTGAGCACACCACATTTTTCAGCTTCACCTCAAACACCTGGACCCTTAGTGTCTAAAGGGAGATATATATGGTATTTTCAGTTTTCATCAAAACTGAAATGTTTGTAATACAATATAGTAATCTGAAGTTAGATCAAAATCCTAATATTATGACCTAAAATAAACAAGTATTACTATGAGAAACTGACCATGACAATTTGCTAAAATGTGATATATATTTGCTAAGTGTTGTGGTTAGCAATTCACAGAGAACAAAAGAAAAAGCACCACAAAAAAAAAAAAGCGCTTTCCCCATGCTCTTGGTCTGCAATGACTGAAGACATTCCTGTAACTTGAAAACAGGAACATAGCATTTTCTCAAACAAATAACAAAAGCAAAGGTACCCATATTTTTACAAACCCCTCAAATAATTTTCACTCTGCAATTGAAACAACTCTCATGCTCTGGGTCATTTGCTACTGTTCATATTTCAAAGTACAATGCTAACAAAATACTCTGCATGTTGCCAGCAGATGGCATTAGTGAGAAATAAGCAACACGAGATCAGACAGTTTACAAAAACTGAGTCCCTACAAGCTTATAGTTAACCTTTATTAAAGGAATCAACTATCAATCATCCTAAGCAATAGTCAGTTGTTCTCTAAAAAGTCCTGTCTCCCTCACCCCATTCCTTTTAAATACTGTTTTGTTTCTGATCATGTAATAATAGTAAAAGGAGGGATCCGTTTTTTTACTAATACCCAAAATACAATCAGTACAATTTGGGGCCATCAACAACTTCTATAAAAATGTAGGTATTCAAATGGAAAATAAAATCGCACTAAAACTAAAATTTTCAAAGGCAGGTGAGTATCCAAGCTTTAGGCTATGAAAACTTAGCAAACAGTATTCCTGAAGACATTTGTCAAAACCCCAAATAAAACCTCTTGCTTCCAAGCTAGCTTCAGCAGCATCAACCTGTCATAGGCCAGTTTGACAGGTCTCATTCTCAAGGGGTTCAGGTTTGTTTTCCCTTTGCACCAGCACAGCTCAGCAGTATCTGGCTGAAGGTCAGCTCAGATAAAGGAATGTAATATATTTTGTATGAAAAGCAGTATTTTCTATTTCCAGACACTTCATCTAACCAAACACATCTGATGGGCTTCACTACCTAGACAACAGAGAGTTGAGCACTATCTTCTCTACCACAAAGTGGGTTCTGCTACCTAACCATCTTGTAGCAGGCCCTACAAGTATAGGCTGGCCCGATACCATCTGTAGGAACTGACAAGCTTCCCATTGTCCTAAAATACTTTAAAAATTTTTTTTTAAAAAAATCCCTGTTTCAACAACAGTAAATGAAAACGTACCCTCCTGTTATTTAAGACTACAACAATGTTCATTGTCTTTTCTCCTGGATATTGAACTCAATACAATGATCCATATACTGTGCATTATACAGGCCTTCTCTCTAAAACACACATACAGATATTAAAAACAGGAGAGCAGAACCATCAATGGCATTTCCCATGCATAGCTCATACTCATGCTCTAAGTTAGACTAACACTCTCAAGTCAGCAACCACATTTTGAACCTTCCAAAATGGCTGGCTCTGCTCACTATTACAAGGTCTTTAATGGTAAGAAGTCACACATTCATCTTCAGTAAGCCTTTTACAAATAAAATCCCAATCCCAAGCACGACTATAGGCTGGGCAAGGAATGGATTGAAAGCAGCCCCAAGGAGAAGGACTTGGGGGTATTGATTGATGAGAAACTCAACATGAGCTGGCAGTGTGCGCTTGCAGCCCAGAAAGCCAACCGTGTCCTGGGCTGCATCAAAAGAGGCGTGACCAGCAGGTTGAGGGAGGTGATCCTGCCCCTCTACTCTGCTCTCCTGAGACCCCACCTGGAGTACTGCATCCAGCTCTGGGGGCCCCAGTACAGGAGAGACATGGAGCTGTTGGAGCGAGTCCAGAGGAGGGCCATGAAGATGATCAGAGGGCTGGAGCACCTCTCCTGTGAGGACAGGCTGAGAGAGTTGGGATTGTTCAGCCTGGAGAAAAGAAGGTTCCAGGGAGATCTAATTGCGGCTTACCAGTATCTGAAGGGGGCCTGCAGGAAAGATGGTGAGGGACTGTTTATGAGGGAGTGTAGTGACAGGACAAGGGGTAATGGGTTTAAGCTGAAGGAGGGTCGATTTAGATTAGAAAGAAATTCTTCCCTGTGAGGGTGGTGAGGCACTGGAACAGGTTGCCCAGAGAGGCTGTGGATGCCCCCTCCCTGGAAGTGTTTAAGACCAGGCTGGATGAGGCTTTGGGCAACGTGATCTAGTGGAGGGTGTCCCTGCCCGCAGCAGGGGGGTTGAAACTAGATGATCTTTAAGGTCCCTCCCAACCCAAACCATTCTATGATAAAAAAAAAATATATATATATGTTCTGACACTATGACACTACAAAGATGAATCCACCACTGGAAAGCTCACTTAGGTACAAGTAACATAAAAGACAGACTATTTCACCTAATTTTTAAGATGGTGAAACCTTTTAATAAGAGCTGTTCTCCACATCGCTATTTGCTACAATTATTAAAATAATACATGAAACTGTGTATTCACATAAACTATCCACTTTATTAACAGGCTTATCCTTTACTTTAAAGCACAAGGAAAAACACCTCAGCATTGAAAGACTGCACTAAGCTAAAAGTTTTTTCCTGGGCTCCTTCCATATAAACAGGTTTGCCATTCCCCCATTCTTGTGTTTGCTCATGCTTCAACAACTGATGAAGCAATATCAGACCTGTCAGTCACAATGAAGAAATTCCAACTCCTCCCTCTTGGGAAAACCCCAGAACTTGCTCATAGACAACCTACGATTGCTATCAAGATAATTTATATCCAACATGCTACTTTCTAGAAGAAAACGTACAAACAGCACGTAAATCACATAGATGGTGATAGAAAAGTTTTACAACTGTATAAGCTGGTAGATTAGGGACACACCTTTGTGTCATACTTCCTTAGACAGTGACATGGCTTTTAAATCAGCGTAAGCCAATCATGCAACTACACTTCTTTCAGTGTAAGTATGGCAGAGATGACATGAATTAATCTAATTGGTACCAGCCACTTAGGAACTGCTTTTCTTCAGATGTTAACTGGGTCACCATGCCACAGTATCAAGCAAATAACACACTGTGAACTCTATCTTGTTTATACTGACGAGTCTATTTATTTATTTGAATTTCAGCATGGCATGCTGTGTCTGCAAGGAATGTCAGCAACCTCAGGAATCATGACCTTCTCTAAACACAAAAAAACACAGGAAAAGATAATAAAGAGAGCTGTGAACAGGTCACTCAAGTTAAAAAATTTCTTGCACCAAGGAAACTGGTGTTCATGATATGAGAGATCAACAAAACAACTTAAAAGAATTCAATGTAACAAAAAGTGTCAAATTGCAAATTCTTAGTTTTCTTCTGATAAATGGCACAAGTTAGAATAGCCTCATATATAACTGAAAGCACAGGAGAGAAACATGCCCTTAAAAAGCCATTCAAGAGTGCTGCTCACAGTGTGTAACATGTCTTTCAAAGTTTGGAAAGAAAGCCCTTTACTTCTTAAACAGAATAATATTACTTAGCACATGCTCTCAGTGGTTGTGAGTAATTTAAATTCATGTTAGTTATTCAATGTACCTGTTAAATGAAGGACCACTTTATGAAGTTTATTTTTGACTTATGAAAGATTTCAAGCATGTATGTAAAGTAAGTCTAATCCATTGTTTCAGTATCTAAAACAAGCAAATGTATTTTTGTGGTAACCAAAGACTTTAAGAGTCTTTAACACTGCTATAGAAAGGCTCAGAGGAAGGCAAAGAGTAAGAGCATCTCAGGTGGTTAAAAACAAAACCCAATTTAATATAAATGATGAATTTAACATTTTTTGTTAGATCTAAGAAATGAACTAG